GGGGGGGGGATACTTTCTTATAAGAGGCTAATGGAGATGTGCCGCTGGATGGGGTCGCATTTTCACGACTGGATTGACTTAGAGTTACTAGAATGGGGTCGCACATTTTCGAATTTTTTGGGGCAAGACAGTTCCTCACTGATTTATAGTTAGCAAACGTACCAGAATGTTTGTACTGTAGGTGAAAATTAAAGTGTTCTTCATTCAGTTTAAAAAATGGGTCAATTCATTAAAATAGAAAGCGACTAAGTTGGGATCGCAAAAATTACATATTTGCCCAAAAGTGAAGATGGGGTCTATAATTGGTCACAGAATAGACTGAAATGGGGTAGGGGCTCTAACAGGCCAGCCCGCACATACCCAGCAAAAATTTACCCAGGTACCCTCCCCCTCCCCTCGGGACGGTCTCGTCTACGTTTTTCGGGAAAACCTGGGATTCAAAGGATTTTGAAGTATAGTGAAAGTGACATTCGGGATTGAGCGGGGGATAAGGGTAACGGGTTTCGTGATGCCAAACAAGCCATCGATATTGCGGGATTTAGCGAAAATTTGGATCAGAACCGGACGGGATGTATTGAAGAACCCTGTTGGAGACCCTCGAGGGTAACACGCGCGTTATTCCAATTTTTCCGCGCGACACATTATACCTGGCACGTGATTTGTCAAAGTTTTTCCTATTCTTTGTTCTTTGTCAGACCTTTTGTGTCAACTCCAGCGATTAACTTATTAACATATAAATTAAAAGAGTAACACAATCATTCGGCGAGAGCAAGGATTATTGAGCTTTTCATTAACAAAATCTCTGCAGAAGCGTCTTTTAAGATTATTATGTTTAAGGCTTAATTTCGAACATGACAGATGTACAGCTCTACCGTGATAGTTCAGGAAGCTTGCCGTAGTGAGTTGCAATGAACGGTTCAATTAGGTGTTCAATCGAAAGTTTTACTGACTACCTTCTGGTTTTGTTTACAGTTTGTCTCACTGGGCTGCGAAGGAACCCGCCAAGCACCGATTTATGGCGGGGAACACGGATCACTGGGCAAAGATGAAGCACAAGGTATGTTACAAACGATTTTAAGGCCCAAATGTTGTCCTTTAGGATAGCTGTAATAAACATTGCCTAGAAGTAACGGTTGTTAGGGAGCCGATTCGCTGGTCTCCATGTCGATTTCTTTCACCAAAACCTCGCATCCGTGTTGACATTTTGTCACGTTATATTTATCAAGTTTTATAAAAGAAAAAACTGCTACACTAGAAAACTTGCTAAAACTTTTACTTTTAGGCAACAACAATAGCTGTAATGTTCTATCTTTTATGGACACAAGCCGAACATGACTACATGTATAAGGAAAGGAACGTCACGCAACGAACTGTTGTGTCCTATGCACACGAGCAGACTGAATGAGAAAGGCCATTTTCTGTAAATTTTTTTCGCCGGTCTTGTCATTAGCTTTGAAATTATTTACCCGATAGCCGTAAAAATTGAAAAATTTTAACCGTTAGCCGTAAATAGGGTAAAAAAGAGTTAACCGTAAAAGAAATTGTTACCTAGATTTGCTACTTTTAAGGAACTTCAAGGTGCTAAACTCACTTATGGGTGCGTTTTTTAATTCCCGGCTAGTGTGACTCCGTACGCACGTTAGGCGAAGCGCCTTTTAGGTGTTAACCAAAAACATGTAGGCTCCATTTCCGACGCTCTCTCGGGAAACTAATTTTTTCCATTGCGAAAGTGTGGCTTCTTGCTGGGGATTAATATTTGCAATTTTCTGGTTGTCGTGCCCTCGAAACACTACTGATACAACACGCAGAGATGTCATTGTTTGTAAAACACAATCTTGGTCAAGGCATTTCGGTGGAGAACTCGCTCGGACCACGTGACCCGAAACGCATTAGCCGCGCGGAATAATGCGGCCTACGGACAAGGCAACGGCAGACAGTCGTTCCGTACAGTCCTTCGCTATCATTAAAAACACTGGACACGGGAATTTTGTTATTGGCCGTTTTCACACTAGAGCTAAAAATGGATCATCCGTCTGAGACTAGCCTTTGTACAGTCGCGCCCTCCCCACAGACACCCCTTCTCCGATTTTTTCTGAGGGGTGGGGGCGGCTGTAGTCAGGCTATCTGGAACGGATAATCCCGTCTTTAAAAGTCAGGGGGATTGTTCATTCAAAATTAAAACTATTCCATTTTCAAATTAAGACGTATTATCTATCTGACGCGAATCATCAAACGGATAACCCGTTTCACACGAATAATCCTTCTCTAGTGTGAAAACGGCCATTTCTGTAGAATGTCGCGCCTCGGCCTTGAGTTGAGTTTGCGTGTCTGCTTTTGGTTTTTCACAAAGATTATTTTTAAATTGACTATTGACATTTCTGTGTGTAAAATAATATTAGAAGTGGAATTCTTTATAAAAAGTATGATCTATCAAATGTTAAAATTTTACAAAAGAATAGCTTATTTCATCCCGAGATGATCCGAAGATCTTTATTTTGAT